CCTCCTGAATACATGATGCACTGTTCTTGAACAGTATATGAACAGTGCATCATGCATTCAGGGGGGACACCTCACCTGTCACCCCCTGGGTCCCCTATTTGGGGTCTATGTAGCAGCATCATTTTCAATTTATTTATTCATATGTTTCATATTTTTAAATTAGTCTCCCAAACCTTCATAGTTCGAAATTAGTCCCTTAAATCATTAAGTGTTTTCAAATTAGTCCATAAATCTTTGTATTTTGAAATTAATCCACAAATCTTCGTATTTTGAAATTAGTCACTTGAATATTTTAAAGTGTTTTGAAATTAGTTACCTAAATATTTTAAGCTAATGCTAGCTAGAGGGACTAACTTCAATACGCTTAAAAGATTTGAGAGACTAATTTCAAAATATGAAAATTTGAGATCACAATCAACTACAATAGTGACATCAATTTCCAAAAATTCTAGTTCCGCCACTGTACCGCACACATCTAAAATTCCTTGCGTTATCTTTTATATGTTAATTTGTCCTTTTTATAACTGCTCGTATGATTATTTCAAGGATCAGAAACTGGAGAGCCATAACTGTGAACCCAAGCTCCATGTCCAAGGACTCAAAATCCACATGCATGATATTTTAGTGGGAATTGATGTCTTCTCTTTCTACAAAATATTCGAGTTGCATATCATAATAGGATCTAAGAGTTTGTAATAGTGCGTATACGCTAACATAATAATGCATTGTGTTGCTGGAGGGATATACCTGCAATTTTTGGTGATGGTGCTACCAAAGATTATATTCTCCAAATGCGATATTAATAAACTTTAGAGGGGAATGCTTTTTCACACATAATAATGTCATAGTAGTTTCTTTTTCTTTCTTTCTTTCCTTCTTTCCTTTTATTTATTTATTTTTTTTCTTTCACATGTGATGTACATGCGAGTTTTCCCTTTTTGGAAGTTATGCCAGAAATTGGTGGAATAAATTCTTATGTGATTGCACTACCTTTTTTTAAAATCAGAATGCAAGGAAACCTGCTTTTATTGAAGGGAAGAGAGATCAACTTAGGCCAGAGGTTGTACAGACATGGGTACTTCCAGAATCCTCAAGGTGATATCCGACAATCTATGATTTCTCAATCCTCCTCTTCTGATAGTCTCGGTAGTTAGAATTATGACGCTGCACAAACTAGGAAATGCGTAATCAGGTTTATCGTTCTTAAAAACCTTCCTTTTAAATTAATAGAATATGATGAATTTGATGATTTGTTTAGAGATGGTTTTTATCCCGTATTTATAAAATTTTCTCGTCAAACCTGTCAACGTGATATTTTAAAATATTATCAGGAGGAAAAAGAAAAAATAATTTCTTATTTTAAAATTTTAAACTGTAAATTTTCTTGAACTTCTGATATTTGAACATCTAGAGTGCAAACTGGTTATTTATGTATCAGAGCACACTAGATTGATGAAAATTAGCAAATGTTTAAAAGAGTTGTTTCTTTTATTACAATTGAAGAGTCACATACTGGTATTAATATTACAAATTTATTGAAGAGTCACATACTGGTATTAATATTACAAATTTAATAATTGAAGAACTTATGAAACTAGAAATTGATCAAAGAATCACATACTGGTATTAATATTACAAATTTAATAATTGAAGAACTTATGAAACTAGAAATTGATCAAAGAATGTTTTCTCTTTTACTAGATAATGTAAATAATAACAATGTAGCTGTTGATTTTATCAAAACAACTCTGCCATTGACATGTCATGGTGAACTTTTCATGTTAGATGTATCTATCATATTTTAAATTTATTTGTTCAAAGTGTATTTTCTGAAATTAAACTCATGATAGAAAAGGTTAGAATAGTTGCTAATATGCATAATGCTTCTGAAATAAGAATTAAAAGATGGAAACAATGTTGCAAAAAAAAATTATAAGCCCAGACTAATTCCAAAAGATGTTGACCATAGGTGGAATTCCACTTATACAATGTTAAGTGTAGCAATAGAATATAAAGAAATTATAAATAATTTTATAAATTTTTATGCTTCTAGTTCAGCAATAGAATATAAAGAAATTATAAATAATTTTATAAATTTTTATGCTTCTAGTTCTAGCTCTAGTAGCACTTATGGAATAACTGAAGATGAATGGATAATTATATGTAATTTAAATGAGATGTTACAAGTCTTTTATGATGCTACAATGTTAATATCTGGCTGTTATTATCCTTGAGCTGCTTTACAAATTTTAAATATTCAAAAAAAATTGTCAAATATCGTATGGATGATACTTTTTGAGCTGTAATTTTTCAAAGGGAGAAAATTTAGCAAATATTTTAGGCATATTCCTCATATTTTTGGTTTGGGGGTTCTTATTGATCCATGTTTGAAAGATATTGGCCTTCGAAGTTTGTTACAATCATTGTATGGTGGACAGATTATAGACTTAGATGATGGATCCGTTACAATCATTGTATGGTGGACAGATTATAGACTTAGATGATGGATCCACCCTTACTGCTACTTCTCATCATTTAGGATGGATCCACCCTTACTGCTACTTCTCATCATTTAGCTATTAGAAATTATTTTCAAACATTATATGATAAGTATGCAGCTAGCCATGGTGTAGCTGCATAACAGTCTACAGCTTCGGCGCCTTCGAGCACAGGCCGAGGTAAAAGTATAAGTTTTGATAGATATGCAATGGTAGCTGAACTAACTGGTGGATCTGGACTTGGATCAGCATTAGAGGTTTCTAAAATAGATAAATATTTATCTGCTTTCTTAGTTAAATGTCAAGGAAATGCTTTAGATATTTTACAATGGTGGAGAGTATATGGATCAGTTTCATATCCTATACTTTCCACCATGGTTCGTGACTTACTAACAGTGTAGATTTCGACGATAGCTTCGGAATCCGCCTTCAGCACAGCAGGACGTTTGATCAACGACCACAGGACATGCTTAGATTCGTATACTGTACAAGCGGTGATGTGCTTACAAGATTGGTGGAGGTACGAGAAGCGAACGCAAAGCATCGATCGGACGGCTAAAATTGAAGATAAATTTGAAGAGTTAGGACTAGCAGATAGGTATAAAGATTAGATAATATTCATCAAATTGTAATTTTTATTTCTTAACTTTAAATTTTGTAATGAATTATTTCGAAAAAAGTTACAAATGGTAGTGATATAGGTGAGTAAGTGCCAATCTAGTTGGGATGTACTCATCTATTATGATGCGACGAATTCCAAAATAAATTTATATTTGTAAAGGATTTACTGATTATTAATAAAGAAGTTATTTTTATCATCTTTCATTTTTATAATTTTTGTACTTGTAATTTATGTCATTTCAAGTTATTAAAAAAATTTATGTTATTTCTGTAATTTTTATGTATATTTATGATTTATGGGGATTTTAAAAAATTAAAAAAAACAAAAAAACTGGTCGGCCCGGGCTGAGGCCCGGACCCGGCCTGGGTCCGGGCTTCGGTTTTGCCCGGCCCGGGCCCGATTTTCTGGGCCTGGCCGAGCCGGGCCAGATGGACAGCCCTAGTTTGAAACAACCGGGCCCGGGCCGGACCAGATGGACAGCCCTAGTTTGAAACATACACCATCATCATTAACTTTGACATGCATTCCATTTGGTGGCCTTCCATTTTGTTATAGTTTTAAATTGATTCCCCCTATTCTTCTCAAGTAGCTGCGTATATTCTTGAAGATACCCCTTCACAAAATTAGCAGTCCCTTAGCGAGCGTGTTACGCCCTCATGAATACCTGAGTTTCCATCATTCCATATGCTCCAGATTGTAGTAAAAACAAGCTGGATTCTGATCCCTTCATCCTTCTCAAACCAGTCCAACAGCCACATTAGAAAATACTCAGTTCCCTCATATTCTCGTGCTACATCGAACGACATAGCACAGCTCATTCCAGACTGCATACGGACATCCTAGAGTTGGCAAAGCTTCACAACATGCTCTCCACATAAAATGTTTTGCCTCATTTGGGAATATCACAACCCCACCCCTTCTTCCACCACTCATGGAGATTGTCATTTGCTGATGGCCCTTCCTCGTCTATCTCCTTTCGTTCTTGAAGAACTCACCTTGCAACCAAATACGTGCTACGCGCCGTGATGTGGCCTTTTAAATCCCAACACCACACCGTTATGTCTTGCGGGCTCCTCGAGCTTAAAGGTATGCTCATTGCAGCCTCAGAATAGTAGGGCATAATTACCTCTCCTATTAAGGATATACTCCACTTCAAAGTAGTAGGGTCAATGAGGCGTAGAACTGAAGCTTCTTGGTTTAAACCTGTTGGGCCAGTCACTGGTTTGAATGTGATTAGTCTTGGCATCAACTTTATCTTTCCAAATCCTAATAGATGCACTATTGTCTATTCCCAACCCTCCATCTCACTCCTCTCTCCAAGACAGACAGTGATGCGCATATAATCCTTCATGCATGCAAGGGATTGAAGTCCACTTTAGCCACCAACACAGATGATCAAGCAAAGTATCTTGGGTTAAAAACTCGACAGCAATAGTGTTATACGCTTAAACTAAACTCACTAGTTCTCTGAGTTACACATTGGGTTTTCTCTCTATATCAAGACAAAAGTAACTTTAAATTGGGTTATTTCAGCAAATCTTTCCTGGTTATGGTCAAAAGATGACATGGCCTAACAAAAATGTCTTCAGTCAAATTAATATGTTCAACCAACTTGATTGTTTATTGTATTCTATTTAAAGTTGTTGACTTAGTTTAAGTTTATCCCTTGGCAAACATGATAACGTTAGTACAGAACTCACGACCTCATCATCTTCAATAACAGATATTATCTTAAAACTTAGGCTTAGTGACTAGGCTTACTCAATCACACCCTTCACTTTGATATGATGTAACATTGCCAAATGAAACTTCGAAGTTAAGTTCTTTACTCCTTAGGAAGAAAGACTAATCAAGGTAGACAATGATAATGTACTACTAAATAGGAAAATATGGAAACTATACTGAACTATCGTTCACCATTGCATACATGGCAATATGGACAATAATATGGCATGACCTTCTCAGCAACCTTCCAGACAAAAATAATCATCAGAAGGCACCATGACAAAAATTGCACTGCTTTACTATAAACTATATTTGTTCTAAAAACATGAGAAATTTGAATAATACAGAAGCATTGCAAAATAAAAATGTCGCTTCAGTATAGATCAAAGGAAAACAGCCAAAAAGCCCACCAGTCGAGTGCATCTTCACCTTGCAAGTGTAGCTAAGTTTCCATTTGCTCTGCAGATACATACACAATTTACATTAGAATAAGTTGAGAAGTAAGGTCCTTGCTGTTATGAGACAAGTTCAAACAAAACTAGTTTCCAATTATTTGCCAATGCATTCTCTATGCTATAATGTCTAACTACTTATCACCTGTCTTCTATTTTATTGGCGTATAAACCCCTGGTTAAGGTGAAACCATTACTATTTTCAGCTTTTAAACTCCTATGGCAATCAATGTGATGGTTGGGCAATATTTTCCACGAATATTTCTGCACGATTTACACAGGAGTTCTCATCACTGAGACCAGGACGTGTATGTACTAATAAAATATAACGCGTGATAAGTATCTAGACCCTGACAATACGTGCATCTCCAATCAACCCTGAACCCTTTTAAGAATTCTGTAACATTTTCCATATGTTAGCCCTCAAAATAATATCTATAACAGTTGGAAATATTGGGTGATACCCCCTTCCCGCTGACATCATCTCTCTGATATAAAAAACTAGGAGCGAGTAGGGTTACCCTCTTTTTTATCTTTTTTCTTTTTCTTTTTCTTTTTTTTTGACTGCAAGTATGCATTTTCACTCTTTATTTTGGTCCGAAACTTCATAAAGGCTTTTAAATTAACAGAAAGTTCAGGCGGACCGAAACTCACAAATAAACAATTTATACTTTGCACATAAGACATGAAAAAAACTTCATACATCCTTTTTTTTGTGGTATGCTCACGGAAGAATAATTGCATGTAATGTTCCTTTATGAGGGCATGAAAGAAACAGTAATTCATCATAATGCTAACAAAAGAAAACTTAGTACCTGAACTATTAGATGAGTCCGATTTCATCCCTTCATCATCGTCTTGTCTGCATTTTAGTAGTGTAGGATGGCTGAAGATTGCAGGATTCCTACATCAAAACAGTAAAATTGATTATGATCCCATTGCCAGAAGTTCACCAAGTAACCACGGGGGAAAGACAAGTACAACTAATTCCAGCAGGCAAGCAGATAAAAATATAGCATGATATGCACATGCAAAACTATAGATATACTTAATAATTCCAAGCTCGTGGACATTGTGAGCGACAAAAATACTAATCATATCCTTGGGTCTCAGTAACTGGACTCCCAAAATAACATCATTTCCTAATAAAATCAAGATATGATCGAAATATGAGCTCAAAACCAGATCAGCCCCTAACGTTTATCTGACATTTCTAAGATGTCCTTAACCCAGTGTTACCAATGAGCAAGGCACAATGCAAGGTGCAAAGTTTCTTCACATGTACATGCACAAGGCGCAATATGATGCGCACGCCCAAGTGAAGCGAGGCACACACCACACATAATTTTTCAAGATGGTTATCAAACATGAAAGAGCATGCTTTTATATTTTCACATAAAAATATGTCAAGATAATAGTATCTACTATGAAATCACAAAATAAGGTCTCAATCTCTTACGCTAACACATCCAACATAGAGCGAAGTTCATAAAATCAAAAGTCAAATCAAGACTAATATTGAAGCAAACTTATGGTCCTCAATTGAGCTACTATAAAGGCCTAATGGTTTTATTTTGCTTTTTGGGATATGAGTCATCTAGTATAAATGCCCGATTGAAATGTTAAAAAACAAAATTATATGATGCTATGCCTAGCATGCACCCTACGCGAAACATAGGTCACTTGTGAGGTGCAAAAGGCGCAGTTGCATCAGATGCTGGGCGCTTCACCATCACCCCTCATCGTAGGGCATGTAAGGCGCAATGAGGCGTGCACCTTTGAAAACACTTTCTTAACCTAATATTTTAACATACTAAGCCCTTATAGTTATATTTCCTAGGCTGTTGGGTACCCGTGGTGGTTGTCCGCCAGACGTATTCCCACTCTACCATCAACAGAATAGTGGTTTTGGCTAAGTTTAGGGTCGGTAACCATCAGAATGAATCGATATACTGGAAATAATATCCATAAGGGGTAAATGTTAAAATATTAGTTTAAGGACTTCTTAGAAATGTCAGGTAAACTTTGGGGGGTTCTCTGATTTTGGGTTTTCGAAATAGCCAACATAGATTGCAGAAACTTTTCAGAATAACCTTCACTATTTTCAACTAATGTTTACTAAGGAAACACAATAAAAGCAACTAATTAAGTATAACCTAAAGTCACCATTAGTGTTAAGGACATATTTTACTAAAACTAGTCGAAGTCTCATGCAGTTGAAACTACAACCAAGCTTTAACACTTGTCGCAAAACAAACGGCGTTAAAAGACGATGAACCATCGTTGCATTTAGGTGTTGGAAAACTCAAATTGACTATGCCTTTTAGAAGCCAAAAAAAAGTACATATACATGTACATAGAGACATATATACATGCCATCTTCAATAAATATTACTTACATTGCTAGAGAATATCTTAACAATGATAAATAAAGCTTGAAAAAGCCCAAGAGGAATTAGAATAAAATATACATGTACATAGAGACAAATAAAAAAATTTATAAGGAAAGCTCGAAAAAGCCCAAGAGGCATTAGAATAAAATATACTTACCTTAATGTAGAAACATATTTTTCTGCTACTTTTTCTTGCTCTTCGTCATAGAAAAACCACTTATCATATGGGGTAAAAGAGTCCACATTCCCAATATCTGGACAGAACAAATGCTGAAAAACATTAATTTAAATTTCATTCAGCAGAAGGAAGATTAGAGGATTGTGATTAAACCTTGTAGTATAATGTTTGAACGGCGGTTGTAGCCAATCAATTTCCAGAATACTTGCCCAGTGTTTCCACGAATCAAATAGTCAGTTCTCACAGCATCAAATCTTTGATTCTCTGCGACAGTGTATTTGCAAAAAAAACAAAGAAGCTGAATTAAGCTAATGGGGAAAGTAGAGCAATATGAAAGCAGTAAAACAAGAGATTAATAATGACATGACATTTATGTAGTTCTATTATATAGCATGTTAAGCATAATTTTGATTGTTTATGATAGAGAGATCTTGAATTGACGCCAACAATACACTCACTTTGGCTCATTAATTTCATTTACTGAAAGCAGCAATGTACTATAGTTAAAATATGCTTTATAAAAGGTAAATAAGAGCATTTAATAATACTAGATAAAAAGATAATTTTTTTTATTAAAAGAAATGCTCATATCTCTTCATTTTCTTTTCCTCGGTTTCGAAGATTTCCCTTTTATTGATATTAAAATTCATAGTAAGCATCTTAAGTATTTGTGTTATTTGTCTGCTTCTTTTGAGTGCTCGGGCAGATTTTTTTTTTTCCTTCTCAAGTTATTCAACTTGTGTTGCAACTATTCTGAATTTTCTGTTGATTGTGTTGTTTGTGTATCTGGATGGTTTTTATATTGAATCTAACATTGGTACTTTTCTCTTATCAGTAAGTTTTGCCTACTTATTAGTCCCTTTAACTTGAGTTTTCAGTCAGCACAGCGGTTGAGCTTTGTTTTCTTAATACAGGAATGTGACATTTAAGTTACTACAATATGTACATGTGACTAAATAAGATATATATCTTATATGTGGCTTAGTTTATAACGACTTGTGTATATAATTAACATATTTAATTCTTATTTACTAATAAGGTATTGTGTGTATATGTTTGTAGAAAAAGGGCAGCCCGTGCGCAAATCACCCGCTCAACTTAAATTTGTAACTTTACAAGAGAATGTTCCTACAACTCGGACCCGTGTTCTCCAAGTCACATGACAACAACTCTTACCATTGTGCTTCCTCCTTTTAAACAGCAGCCTATATTTCTATCCATAAATCGTATTCTACCCTATAAACTCTCGATTGTAGCCACATTTTATCAAAGTATTTGAGAACAAATAAAATCACCTTCTTGAAATGACTTATATTGCTTACGATAAAATAATAATGGAATCAAGCCTATGACCCGCTTGAATTCATTGAAGAGTTTATTTATGGCAAGTTAAGACATGCTTTGAAAAAGGAAAATAATTACATTTAAGAATAATATTAAAGGGTTAAACTAACAATGACTATACGATAATCTTCACTGGAGAAGTAATTTTGTTTATGGCTAGTTGCACCTTTTAGTAAGTATTTTTGAGAAAAGATAGATACAGTTGAAAATAAAATGTAAAGGAATGAATTAACAATAGTTATGCCAAATCTGTTATGTTATTATCATGATGCAAAACCTCTACTAGCAAAATGAAGGGAGTGATGTGAATGAGATTTTGCATCACAGTCAGGCTTGACCCAAAGTCACCAGACTATTGAGCATAAAGCCCTCTAGGAGCAAACTGAAGTGAGCTTTATGAATGAAGATTGTTGAAATTGTGCACTGAAGTTGAGCTTGACTAAAATTTACGGGTCTCTCTCTCCCTCTCTCCCTCCCCCTCAACCGACTAGCACATTCATATAAGACGCTCTAAACTAATGCATTCATATAAGATGTATCCATGTAACTAGATTTGAAGTTATTTACTCTGATAGTGATAACCATGTCATGTATCGTAGCTTGAATTTGTATCCATAAAATCGCTTTTTCTATTCAACAAGCTCATGAAGTGTGAAGGATGCACAAAAGTGGATGCATGGATATCTTTCGATATGTCACGCAAACTATACAGGTTGCATGTGAAGTTTTTATAAGGTTTTCACCAGATAAACCTCCCGATTAATAAAATTGTAACCACTTCAATCATCAAACATTAAATCCATCTAAGGTTTTATTACCAATGACAGCTCCAAAGTAGCAACCCTAGCACTATCCAATGCCATTAATGAGCTCGAGCAATGCGTAGGTCGATCACAACTTCTGATATATATATTTTTTAAAGGAATTTCTTTTTAGATAATCTTCCTTCCTCATTGTACACAATGTTATAGAAAGCTCTAGACGCTGCTAAGCATGGGGAAGACACCTAGCACCTAAGCGGCCCAAGTGGATTTCTATTTTTGTTTAAGAGGTGGTGGTGGATGTTTGTTGAAGGTCGGAGGAGATGGAGGTGTTCGTAATTAATGGAGGAGGTCGGAAGGCAGCAACAGATAAAGTCACAACCAAGACCTAAGTGGGCATTCATTGTTATCGAAGCGCAAGGCGCAATGCTGGGCGCAAAGGCCCCTTACGCACACCATGCGCAAGGCGCACAATGATGTGCGCGCCTCACTGAATTGAGGCGCACAACTCAAATTAATATTTTTCAACATAAGACAAAGAAGCATATAAGCAATATATTTATAAATTGTCACATAAAAAGACTAAAAAATATAATATCACCTACTAAATCACGAAAGAGTCTTAATTAGCATGCATAACATAGAGAAGTTCATAAGTTTTCACAAATCACAATGCAAGATAATCTCCAACATAAGCAAAAGTCTATGACTCTATGAAACAAAACAAGCAAGTAACAAATAAGAAATATGTATTTTTATTTAAAATATAATATATGTATTTTTAAGTAACAATTAAATGATTAAAAAATACGATTGTTCATAATTTTCTAGTTAGCATTCTTAATTGTTATTTGTTAGTTAGGACGAAAAGATGGAGAATGGAGGTAACAATTATATATTTACATATTTATAATTTTCTAGTTAGCATGCTAATTAGAGAAGGAAGTTACAATTAGCAAACAAGTATACTAAATTACTAATTACTAATTCCGTTTTATAGGTTAAACATGAAAAGATGGAGAATGGACTAGCAACTAGCAAGAAAGACTCTATTACATGATGTAAATATGTAATATGTAAATTATTTAAAAAAACAGAAGAAAGAGTCTATTACATGACGCATGTGTCAAGCGCACACGAGGCGCACGCGAGGCACGCATCTCGTGTGCGTGCAACGCTCCGCCTCTGGTGCGGGCGCAATTGTCCCAGCCCGCAGCGCCCCGCGCCCGGGACATACCTGGGGTGCACGCTTCGATAACAATGCGAGCATTAGACCACTTTTTAAAACATTGCTTACTCGTAACATATAATTCTTTTATTCTCCCCCAACTTCTTAAGCTGTAACCATTCCTTTACTCCTCTCTCCCCTCTTTGTCCACTTCTTCCACCTCTTTGTCCACTTCTTCAGTCTCTTTCCTCTCTTCGATTGTGTCATTTGCTATTTGTTATTGATGCTATGTTGCCATTGCCACTGTCTTTGTATACCTTTTTGCTTCCATTTATTCTTCCTTTCAATTGTTATTGTTGCTGCTTACTCTAGTATTCATTTTAGCTTTGATATTGCATATTAGTAACAGTTTTATCGCATAGTTCATTGTTCCCAAATTTTGAGATTTAGTGCACCTCACTATAATGGATGCAAGCCTTGCCTGATGCCACATACATGTCAAGGCATCAGCAGCTTCTTTGCGCCTTGTGTTTTGCTGAGAATTTCCAACTTAATATCTCTACCAGAAAAACAAGAGAGGCATATTTTTGTTTGAGAAATGCAATATTAGTAACTTCTTTTGCTTTAGTTAACCAGTAAGTATAAATACTGATTAAAACATTATTTGAGTTAGTATGATGATTAGATATCTAATGTCTGGATAAAAATCTGAATAAAAAATTTTATTTGTAATTGTCAAACAACGATATTATGCTCTGCTTTATATTTCTTAAAGAGTTTAAAGTGGGCCGATGATTCTAGTTTCAAAAAAAAAAATTTAATAGCAGTTACAATCATAAACTTAACTCATTGTTTTGAGTTAAATTTTATTCCATGTATACTGAGATATCCCGTGGAGAGTTCATTCATTTCCTCAATGGTATAATGGATTTATGTAATCCATTTCTACAGTTTTAAGAGGGCCAACAATTATATTTTGTTAACAAGGAATATAACATTGTTGATCAATAGATTTGTAGGCCCATTATATATATAACGTAGAAAAAAAACTCAATTTGAAACTTGTTTTAACCCATTCCAGCACCTAAAAAAGCCGAGTGTTATAAAACTCAGGCAAAAAATCCATGATGCATTTATGCAGAAAATAACACAAAAAATATGTTTTGTCCACATTAAGCGTTATTGTTAAATTGATGATGAGGTTTGGATGCAGGTTGATATCTCCACTGTCCAAATTAGTATCATGCTAACCGATATAAGCTCCCAATTAAATCCCTCGGCCACAATTTCATTTGCGTAAAAAACCTTAGCAATCCCCCAACCCCATCTCCAGTGCCGCCCTCATCTCCTCCCCCTCCACCTCCTCCTCTCACTCCTTTGAAGAAGAAATCTCTCATTCTTTCTCTGATGCCTTCAATGAAGATGAAGCCTCTAGTCAATGACAAGACTCTTCTCGTCCTCTATCTCCACCGACAACAAGGCTCCTCCCTAGTTCCTCATCAACCCCGTATCACCTCCCATCAATGAAGAAAATCCTAACATCATCTTCATCTCCTCCCTAACTTCTAGATCCTAACTCCTTTCGACAAAGATGAAGCCTTCTAAATCCTAGCTCCTATAACTCTTCTTGTCCTCCTTCATGTATAAAATTTTTAATAATTCTAATTATTAAAGTTATTATGAATATTTTGTACTTTATATTTATGAAATATCTAAATACCAATAAAATATAGCTTACGTTATGCATTACATTTTTGCATTTTTCCTTAATCCTTAATAGAAGGTAGACCATTACGTTATGAATTATCCTTATTTTCGACATTGCTATATATATCAACTAAGTGATGGCACTAAGAACTGGTAACTATTGCAAAATTTGCTCTGCAAACATTACATAGAAATTTTGCACGACCTACATTTTTGTTGCTATTTATTGTGTGCCATTTACACTATGGATCCAGTTCGCATTATTCATTTCATAAGGATATATCCTGTCTTTAATGCCTTCCAAGAAATATTGTCACAAATGAAAATCTCTTTTATATCATGCATTCGTGTATCATTTTAATTTTTGCAGTATATGAGTCACGTTACAATCTAAAGAACATTGGCAGATGGAAAATATATTGAATCCAAAGTGATCACAGTGACCCAAATCATCAGAATAAATTTTCCAAATTACCTTTATAAAAGAGTTAGATAAGGGTAACAACCTGGCTAGGCACTTACAAAGAAAATAATCTTTAAATTATTTCTTCATAACTAAGTTCGATCAAATTAAATCGTTATATCAATAGTATGGACTAATGAAGAAATAATTAGAAGAAAAATGAAAGAAATTTTCTTAACTAATTTAAATAGAGAACAGCATTTAATTTGGCAACATACTCTTGGGCACAAGTTCAATCGATTCACGAACTTTAGTGCGCACTTTCTCTACCTCAGCCCTTAGTTTTGAAAGAAGACTATCAAACTCAGCTAAGGAGAGTGGATTTCCCCCTCTGGCTGAGAGTACAGCTTTAGCTGTTTCATCCTTCACCTTCTGTTTTAAAAGCTTTTCCTGCATAAGATCACAGTTCAGAGCGTGCAATAATATGAACCAAAGAGTAACATTAGAAACAGTTTCCTGCAATTGAACCTTTTGTTTGGCAACGAAAACTTTTTCTTTATATTCCTTCTTTCCGTCATCAAATTTTGCTGCAACTTCGTCAATCCAATTCCGTAACTCTCTGAAAACAGAGTGTGATGAGAAGGTATGCATGTAAATTATCACACATCCTATACATTGTTTAGGAATTAACAGAAATCACTTACTCAGTGCCAAGGACCTCATCACAGAGAAAATTCAACATCTTCAACTTTTGTGATGATTCTAGATTTTCATATCCAGATAAACCTGTATCAAGAACGTTTAAAGGAAATCCCTCGAATTTACACTCAGATTCCTCAATGCACCTTTTCAGTGTTTGAACCCATGCATCACCACTGATTGTTGATTATGTGAAGAGTCAGTAAATTTTCAAAACAGATGATTAACTGTATAGTTTTAAAAAAAATGACATAAACATTAAGAGAAACTCCATGCAAGTAGTCATACTCTTTTTTCACGTCCTTTTCGATTAGGGATAGCAATTTGATATTGAAGTCCACATGTGCTGTGAGCACTCGGTTACGTTTGACACGCGCTCCATTTAAATCTAAGAGAACATTTTCAGGCTGCCCTTTCTTTATATGGAGAACCTAAGGTAAGAAGATCAATCAAAAATGATGCGCTGAAACTCAAAAACACAACAAACAGTGAAAAGGCACGTTTTTGGCAACATTTACAGGCTCAAAAGGATGACAAAGCAATTCGTACCTACAGAATTACAGCTGTTAGGGCTGCAAACTTCATAATTAAAATAGCAGTATGAATTTGCAAGAAGTTAATGAATTTCAAGAAACAATACAACAATAAAGTTCACGTCAATCCAGCTAAAAGATGCAGGCTCTTAAAAGCAAAAGGTCCCCTACAGCAACAAAATCTAGTTATAATCTTGTTGGATTTATTTAGTCAAAGCATAATTCTGGTGCAAGCCGTAGTCTAATAAGCAAAAGCATACTGGCAATAGAACCCTTAAGATACCCTCTAAAATACTATAAACAACCAAAGCATTCACCATGGCTTCGAATTCAATGAGCAAAAACTATCATACCTCAGAGAATGCATTGCAAAATTCTAAGAATTGCAAGGCAGCTCCAATGTCTTTATCTGGTAATTCAATACCAGCAATTTCTGTGAAGTGACTACCTAGAGGAAGCACAATTTCTTCTTTTTTAGGTTCCTTCTGGTCTTTTATAGCAAGCTTCTTTAATTTTTGAACTTTAGGCAAGGACTTAGTTTTTGCATCATCAACAGTTTCCTTATCTTGACTAGCACCCATATCATTATTCTTGCTGGAATGCTTCATTTTATCAGCTTCACTGAACTTATGTTCTTTATCATTGGCATCTTTCTTCAACTTGTAAGATTTTGTCGGCCTGCTTTCAATAATACCACTATCAGCAGAAACAGGCATTTGAGTCTCATCTTCCCCGCACTTCAATCTTTTTGCTGCTTTCTTCTTTTCTGGCCCATCTTTGCTTGGTTTGACTTGATTCTGCTCAACACGCTGGTTCTCCTTATCACGATTTCTCTTCAGAGCAGGTGAACCCTTCCAAAATCAGCAACGAAACTAATCAGTTTTAAGATGACAAACCTGCTTTCTTCTTCATTCATGTATAATCATAAAAGAAATGTAGGGGAAACTGAAAAAGGGAGGCAAATTAAACCTTGTTAGAAAGAGGTGACTTCTTTGGTGTAGCGTTCAATTCAGCAACTCGGGCTGCTATGTCTCCTGCACCTTCGGTATGTAATAATTCATGGACTGAATTGAATCCAGTCGCTTTTGCCGTGTGAGAAAGGATTCCGGTCGGTTGGCACCCTTTTCTTTTCCTGTCAAATACAGAGACTAAATCAATGAAAAAAAATTCTAAAAACCATAACTTTAGAGTGGATTCACACAAAAGTTTATAGAGCATTACATGCAGAAACTGCAATTGCAAACACCTCTGCATCTTGGGCAAATCCAGTTCTTTAATTTGGCCACTTCGTCCGCCTTTTCACCATATCTAAATACCCAATAAAATTAATTAAAACAATACTAAAAATATAACAATGGGACTGAAAATGAAAAGAAATTGACAAGGTGAAGTGATCAAAGCAATGGCTAAATGGAAGAGGAAAGCACCTGTTCAGAAGACATTTGTGGCAGAACGTTAGAGTGCAGGGCTTGTCATTCTTGAGCTTCTTGCAGAAAGCAGCAAAATCTCTAGTCTTTTGTCTACACTGTAATCATTATAACCAAAAGTTCATAAATGCCATACCAAAAAGATCAAAGATGAGATTTTTATACCATCCAGAGTTCAGTTGCTGAATTAAAAAGAAAATTAGCAAGAAAGATGCCATTTTGTGACACAGGTCATCTTTTTTTCTCAGTTAATCTGTAACTGAAAACAATAATTGAGAATAAAAAACAATAAGCTACACTATTCTCTCGCATGGGTCATGCTTCTTCCAACAAAACAAGGGTAAATTTTGGAAACTTTCGCGAAATGGACCGTGATTTTTCCTATTAAATTTGTGAAAAAAGAACGAAAGAATAAGTACCTGATGGCAAGTCTTGCCATTCTCAGAATCGTAGATCCTTCCTCCTTTTACTCGAACCCCAGGATCTTTGGTTCTCTTCTTCTTGCTGGGAGAGAGAGGAGAACTCTTCTGGCTTATCTCAGCGTCGGAGTTCTCAACTACAGCCATTGCTAGAGACTCAGAAATAACACACACACACGCACAGAGAGAGATAGAGAGAGAGAGAGAGAGAGAGAGAGAGAGAGAGAGAGAGATGAAACGACAATGAGGGAGAGATGAAACTACGGGAGGAGGGTTTTTGTTAATAATTTTTTCGGAATTTGAAGAGATGGAGGGAAACTGAAATTTTTGGGGGCAGCGATGAGTTTTCAAAGTTGGGTTTGGGTTATGTACAGAGTCTATGAACTGGGCTGAGGTGAAATGGGAAAGTTGAATTTGAGAATTTTAGGGGGATGGACTTTTCTTATTTTTTTGGAAAATGATTTAAGGACCCAAAATATGGGACCAAGTAAGGGGACAGGTGAGATGTCACCTCCCTATTGCTTAATGAGTTGGTCATGCCAACTCATTATTCAATAGAAATGGGACACCTCACATGTCCCCTCTCTTGGTCTCATATTTTGGGTCCCCGTAGCAGCACTCTTTTCTTTTCTTTTCTTTTCCCTTTGAATGGATTTTCAAAAGATAGATATTAATTAGATTTTGGTAAGTTGGTAAGGTACGCATTAAACATGTTTGTTGATACGCTCTCTTTTATGGTTTGAAGTTTAGAAAGATGACAAAGGAAGGGTTTCATATAATCGATGACACTAACGACAATAATAATATTATGTGGTCCATAAAGAAGCAGTTATGTTTTGAGGCGGACTGTCTTTTATAGGAAGCGGATTTTAACAAAAATGTTAATTAAAACTCATCAATGTACACACAGTTATGATTTTGCTATACTATCCTCTCCATTGTGGTTTGAAATTTAGAGAGATGATGACAAGAGAATGACTAATGTTTTGGTACATATATATGTCTTAGAAACATAGTGCTATGGTCCTCAAAAGAAACAATCACGTTTTAAGGTTCAGAAAAGAATTTTTTTTTGGAGTGTCAATATTTGACGAAAATGCTAATTAAAACTCATTAATGTACTCGTCAAACATGTCAAAAAAAATATGGCTTGTGGTTTGACGATTAGAAAGATTACAAGAGAGTCATCACAAAGATTACAGCAGAGTCATCACTGCTGTGATGCACGGGCATGACCCTATAAAGTACTAGCATTATGAGACTTACGTTTTTGAGGCTTTGAAAATGGTTTTTTCTTTCTTTCTTTTTTTTTTTTTTTTGCGAGTAGATATTGACAAAAATGTTAATTAAAACTCATTAATTTGGTCACCAAACATATTTGTATAAACATATCATATGCAGTTTCTGAAAGATGAGAAGAGGAGCATGGTCGCTCTCAACACATTTAGAGAACGGACATCTCTCTGACCGATTGGTTTTGTAAATCCTAGAATTTTGATAACTAGATCAATTAAAGTTCGCATGGTCATTTTTACAGATGATAGAAAGCGCCATTCATTTTTTATACATGTACACACGACATTCATTTTTTATACATGTACACACGACACTTAAGAAAATATTGACAAAATGCTAATTAAAATTCATTATTACACTTGTCAAATACATTTTTCACAAAATACATCCTCTGTTGTCTTAGTTTACAAGATGAGAAAAGAAGCATCACTACTCTTAAACGTGCAGAGGACAATGAAGAGAACATAGAAAGATAACGTTTGAAGAGACTGTCAAAATGAGCTTTCTTTGAGGTAAGACGATGAATAAAATGCTAGTTAAAAGTCATTACTGTTAACAATCATCGGTGATCCAGACAGATGGGAGATTCCAATATGACTCCCAAGGTTTGGGTTCAAATCCACGATGGGTTATACCCACACGCACACACAAAATTCATTATTGCTCTTGTTAAGTATGTTCCAAAAAAAAAAGACAGTGCAATCCTTCAAATTTCTTGTTAATTTAACTGAACTGCATACTCCCAACCATCAAACAACAACAATTGAAAGAAAAGCAATGATGTCGTATTAAAACCTCAACCAATACCAAACATTATTTTCTTATTGCTGTGTCAGCTTGGGCTTTGGATTCCTAGAGCACACATGAAGAATAACAAAAAAGCTACAAGCAGTACAGATGAAAAAAAAAAAAGGCTACACGCAAAATGTCTACGTTTTTATCGTTGAAGAAGATATTCACACCCTTCAGTGATGGGCGTTCGCCTTTGCCTCAGCCTTTCTACGAGACTTCTCCTTTGACTGAGAAAAATAATAAAAGGCACATTAGCTGTGGCGAAGAAAGCACAAAGAATCCTCTGTAACTTATTTTACGCCTAACACATATAGACGTTATCAGCATAAAGATTTAGTACTTTCACCCACAAAAAGAAAAACTATAATTAGTATCTTACAATGCATCCGATGATATAAGTCAACTCAAATTATAAATAAAGTTCAACCATCTAAAAAGACCTTCTAAGGTTCAATTATTGCTGCCAGTTCGAAAACTAGCCTAGTCCCTTTAAACAATATATCACCCAAACTCAAGTGCGAGTTTTGTCCATATAAAAACATAATCTCGCTGCTGTTTCTTTTTCTTCACTTGCCACCTACTCTCTTTCTCAGCTTGCTGCGGGATTAGAACTGAACACTCGTACTTGTATTATTACACAAGGATTAAGAAATGGGTTAAGAACTAAGCTAAAAGCTCTGATTTTAGTTCAGTACAACATACAACTGAACCTCAAGTGTATGAAGAAGGGAAATGGGAGAGACATATGATCCTATTTACCTATCATATATGTAACCAATGATAAGTGTTCCATGAAGAGAGAACTTCTCCACTGTAAGAGAACATTTAGATGGATATCCATGAGTTTTTTGAACTTGAAGATGGATGGCATTTAGTACTACCCAAAAAGAGGAGAAAAGTCATAGCTATCAATATCTTATTATACTAGTAAATATTAAGTGTTATTTGTCAATTCAGTGAATTCACAAATTTCAGAATCTGATAAGTTTCTTTATGACCCAAAAACTTGAAACATGCAATTAGTAAGAAGAAATTTAAGTAGGCAAGGAGATTAATGGGTGTGAAGAAAAGAATAAAAATGAGAAAACTGAAGATATTATTGTTATAGATATGTATTTTATTTTACAATGGATTTGATGATAGTGATGAATCCATTGTAAAATGATTGATTGGTATTTGTCTTATTCTGTTTCAATAAGGATAAAAACTTGGTTTAGAAAGTTGTCATACATAAAACTGCTATGTTTAATTTGGTATATTTAATTTATGCAGCTTCATCTGACCATGGGTTTCTGCATTTCTATATTTAACACTTACTTTGCATTTACAGCTTTCTGTGCTTCCTGTGGCTATTGATCATTCTATGTTTTGCATTTGTCAAAATTCTTCTTATAAAAATGGTTGTAAACTAATTACTCAGGTATTGTGCTTAGGCGAATATATGTTTGATACATAATAAGGTAAGATGCATGGAGAATGATACACAATCGAGCATCTGGATTTGAAAAGTTGCTTCAAACATATTAAATATTGAAGAAACTTAACAATACATACTCAAATGACAATGAAATTCCATTTAGCATATTCAAGCATAAAACACTTATTATCGAAAAGATGCAAGATTAGATATAAAAAAGACATGCAACCTACTGCTTTTGCTTAGAAGCGTAAGGATAGTCATACTCATATATAGCGGTCGCAAATGTTTTGAGTTTCGGTATTAAAAATCAAAAGAACATGAGATTACTATCATGTTATGAAATGAATAATATTACTAGCGGTCGCAAATGTTTTGAGTCCATTCTCATAAAACACATGTCCATTCTCGTAAAACATAGACTATCTAATGAGATTACTATCATGTTATGAAATGAATAATATTACTAGCGGTCGCAAATGTTTTGAGTCCATTCTCATAAAACACATGTCCATTCTCGTAAAACATAAATAATATTACTAGCAGTCGCAAATGTTTTGAGTCCATTCTCGTAAAACACATGTCCATTCTCGTAAAACACAGACTATCTATAACATGAAATGAATAATATTACGAGCGGTCGCAAATGTTTTGAGTCCATTCTCGTAAAACACATGTCCATTCTCGTAAAACATAAATAATATTACTAGCGGTCGCAAATGTTTTGAGTCCATTCTCGTAAAACACATGTCCATTCTCATAAAACATAAATAATATTACTAGCGGTCGCAAATGTTTTGAGTCCATTCTCGTAAAACACATGTCCATTCTCGTAAAACATAAATAATATTACTAGCGGTCGCAAATGTTTTGAGTCCATTCTCGTAAAACACATGTCCATTCTCGTAAAACATAAATAATATTACTAGCGGTCGCAAATGTTTTGAGTCCATTCTCGTAAAACACATGTCCATTCTCGTAAAACATAAATAATATTACTAGCGGTCGCAAATGTTTTGAGTCCATTCTCGTAAAACACATGTCCATTCTCGTAAAACACAGACTATCTATAACATGAAATGAATAATATTACGAGCGGTCGCAAATGTTTTGAGTCCATTCTCGTAAAACACATGTCCATTCTCGTAAAACACAGACTATCTATAACATGAAATGAATAATATTACGAGCGGTCGCAAATGTTTTGAGTCCATTCTCGTAAAACACATGTCCATTCTCGTAAAACATAAATAATATTACTAGCGGTCGCAAATGTTTTGAGTCCATTCTCGTAAAACACATGTCCATTCTCGTAAAACATAAATAATATTACTAGCGGTCGCAAATGTTTTGAGTCCATTCTCGTAAAACACATGTCCATTCTCGATATTTTTTGGGAACTTGTAGGAATGTGTTCCTATTTATTAATAGGTTTTTGGTTCACACGACCAATTGCGGCAAGTGCTTGTCAAAAAGCTTTTGTAACCAATCATATAGAGGATTTTGGTTTATTATTAGGAATTTTAGGCCTTTATTGGATAACTGGTAGTTTAGAATTGCGGGGTTTGTTCGAAATAGTTAATAACTTGGTTCAGAATAATGGAGTAGATTCTTTATTTGCTACTCTGTGTGCTTCTTTTTTATTCCTTGGTGCAGTTGCTAAATCCGCATAATTCCCCCTTCACATATGGTTACCTGATGCTATGGAAGGACCCACTCCCATTTCGGCTCTTATACATGCTGCTACTATGATAGCAGCGGGAATTTTTCTTGTAGCTCGGCTTCTTCCTCTTTTTATAGTTATACCTTCCATAATGAATATTATTTCTTTAATAGGCGTAATAACAGTACTATTAGGAGCGACTTTGGCTCTTGCTCAAAGAGACATTAAAAGAAGTTTAGCTTATTCTACAATGTCTCAATTGGGTTATATTATGTTAGCTTTGGGCATAGGTTCTTATCGAGCAGCTTTATTCCATTTGATCACTCATGCCTATTCAAAAGCTTTATTGTTTTTGGGATCCGGATCTATTATTCATTCAATGGAACTCAGTGTTGGATATTCACCAGAAAAAAGTCAAAATATGGTTCTTATGGGCGGTTTAGCAAAATATGTTCCAATTACAAGAATTACTTTTTTATTAGGTACACTCTCTCTTTGTGGTATTCCCCCTCTTGCTTGTTTTTGGTCCAAAGATGAAATTCTTAATGATAGTTGCACTCTCTCTTTGTGGTATTCCCCCTCTTGCTTGTTTTTGGTCCAAAGATGAAATTCTTAATGATAGTTTTTGATTATTTACTTGTAAGAATGTAGAATTTCTTTATGTTCTTTTCATTCTCTGTTTAAGAACTTAGTTTGCATGTTTATGGGACGTCATCTAAGTCGCGCAGTGTAAAACTCGTTGTTGCCAGGATGGCTGTTTAGAGTAGTGTAAGTCATTGACAGACATGTAAGCTTTCTACTAGGTTGTTTCATAGATAATAAAAAGAAAAATAGAATTTCTTCACCCTTACTGGTTAAATAATCAGAAGATAAATTTGTAAGAAAAAATTATGTCAGACATCATAGAAAGCAGTATGGCTCGTAAATCCAGTCATACTGGAATGAAAAAAGTTAAAAATGCTCAGTTAACTGAATATGAAACTGACATAGAATCACTTAATAAGTGGACAATACCCGATGTTCCTAATAGAGACATCTATAAAATTAGCTTTTTAGACTATAAGTCTTTAATTAATATTAAGACCCTAGAAAGGACTACTACAGTCGATAGAGAAGAACAGACTATTCAACTACTAGGAGTAGCAGATGTGAATCCATATCTGGATAAGTACAAATATATACATGTTGGGTTAATACAAATTGCTTTTAAACCATTAACTCTATCTGGTTTGAATGCATCTTTATTGGTCTGTTTAAGAGACTCAAGATGTTTAAATTGGACCCAATCTTTAATGGGTATAATGAAAACTAGTCTGTGTAACAGACCGGTATATTTCAATGTTTATCCAAATTTAAGTCTATCTTTGACTGACCCAAATATTCTAGATGCAATAAGTCTTAATATAAAGACTCATGGGTATAATTACATACCTGGATCCGAAACTATTGCTATAATTTATAGGATCCATTATAAAGTATTAAATACCTTAGCTCCTAAAACTAAAATTCATTCTAAACCAGGTAAAACTGTACTGGTTGAAACAAATGTTTTATCTTTAAACATTGTTGTTAATAGACAGATAAAGTGGGATGAAATAAACTTCCCAGATAATTGGGTTATACCCAACGCTGTACAACAATTACCTATTGTTAATCAAGATATTGATCAAATTATACAAACAACAGATGGAGAAGTCGAAATAACATTTAATCCATCTAGATCTATCAGAATACCTGATGTGGCAACATCTGCCAGAAATTCTTTATCTCGATCTGGATCTTATAGAACCAGTTCTGTTCAAGGAATTAATATTTCAGATAATAATATTCCTCATCCTTTATATAAAGATAAACTTTCTCCTCCTAATACGGAGATGAGCTTTCGAATGAAATGATAAATTTTGAAAAAGGAAGCTTAGAAAGGGAAATTCTAAATAAAGAATTTTACCTAGAAAAACATAAACCTTTTAGAAAATGGTTTTTTAAAAATATTTCTAAAAAAGACCAGTTAAACTGGGTAGATAAATATTATACTGAATTAAAATTAAAACAATATATTAAGTTCTTCATTCCATGGTTTTTAAAGAATTATATTCAAAGTCAAGAAACTCAAATAGGAGTTTTAGGAGAACATTTAAAACAATGGA